CCTCCCGGCGAGCCCTCGCCGGCGCCGCTCCCCCCCCGCCGCGGCCTCCCTCCCCCTTGCTGGTCAGACGACGAAACCTTCGCCCTCATCGAATCCTATCGCGAGAAATGGCCCCCCCTTCGCTTCGGCAATCTCCGCGCCGCAGACTGGGAAGAGGTCGCCGCCGTTGTAACCCGCCGCTGCTCCCACGTCCCCACCGCCACCCCCAAGACCTCCGTCCAGTGCCGACACAAGATAGAGAAACTCCGCAAGCGATTCCGATCCGAGCGGCACCGATCGCTCTCACTCCGCCCCTCCTCCTCCTGGCCCTTTTTCTCTCTTATGAAATCCCTCGAAAACCCTTCTCCTTCCGATTCCGACCCCGGAGACGCCAGGAACACCCGAAGCCACCACCGCCAAATGGCCAATAGCGGCGAGGAGCTCCGATTCGCGATCCCCAAGGCTCTCCGGTCCAAGATCGTGAACCCTCGTTCGGGCGGCGGGAGGGCGGCGAAGCTTTCTATGGAGGAGATGAGGCGGAGGTTGGAGAAGAAGAAGATGGAGGGGAAGGAGAAGGAGCGAGACGCAGTGGTGGATATGGCTTCGGCGCTGAGGACGATCGGGGATGGGTTCATGAGGATGGAGCGGATGAAGATGGATATGGCCAGGAAGACGGAGAAGATCAGGTTAGAAATGGAGCTGAAGCGGACGGAGATGATACTGGATTTGCACAGTCGCGTTTTTGATGCGCTTGTGAAGAAATAGGGAGGCCAGAGTTTGTCCAGATTTAGGTTGCTTGAATGCTAGGGAATTAGAGGAGATGGATCATCATGAATCGCGATAAGTTAGCTTTTTTTTCTTTTTTTTGAAAGAGCTTTTACTATAAATAGTTTTATATATTATGATAATGGTTTAGAGTAATGGACCCATGGAGTATTTCTTCAGGGTTTATCTATTTTCTATATGTTAAATGTGAATGGTTCTATAGGTAATTGTGAATGATGGTTGCGTTTGGTCATAGGTGATACATTATGAAAAATTCATTAGATAAAGCATGTGTTTTTTTGTCCTAAAAGTACTTAAAGTAAACTCAAAATTTTTGAAAAGGAGCATTTCTTAATTATTTTGTATTCATATATCTAACATGTAAACTATACTTTTTATATTTATACCCCTTAAATCTTTCATATCACATCAAAAATATGATGTCATTTTAACTTTTAAGAAGTGAAATACATCCTTTCATGCATAGTTAAGGTGACTTTGTATGTGAAGTTGTGAACAATGAAGTTTAGGTGTTGGATGTGAAAATTCATAGGATTGGAGTTGTATGTATATAAATCTTCCATTTGAAAAGAGTTATTTAAAAACATATCACCCAAATCTTTTGTATTTACATATCTAACATCTCTTTCATATCTCATAAAAAATACCATCATTATAACTTTTAAGAAGTAAAATACTTCTTTCATGCATAGGTAAGATGTTATATATGTAAAAATTGAAGTTTAGAAGATATGCAAATTCATAGTTGAGTTGCATGTAAATGCATCTTCCATTTGAAAAGAGTTATTTGAAAACATATCACCCAATTCTTTTGTATTTATATATCTAACATCTCTTTCATATCTCATAAAAAATACCATCATTATAACTTTTAAGAAGTAAAATACTTCTTTCATGCATAGGTAAGATGTTATATATGTAAAAATTGAAGTTTAGATATGTTATAACATTTTGCCTAAACATTTGTAGAGTTTTGTCACCATTTGCTAGGGTCCATAATTCAAACAGAAAATTTTGCGGAGTTACCACTTTCACAAGTTTCTATTTCGAAAATTGTTAATTACATTAGATTTTTCTTATCAAGATATGCAAATCTATACTAAGGTCATCACATATCATCAATATTTTATTATGATGACAAAATCTTGTCCGACACCTTGGTTTTTTTTTTTGGATGATCTGATCATTAAATTTTTTATCCATCAGTTATGTTGCACATGTGGCATCGATCGCTTCTAGTTGGTACCATTTGTTCGCCAATTAGAGACTTTGTCGCAAGTGTCACTATCGGATTAGTGTTATTGATCATTGATTGAACATCCTGGCCTACCTTTGCACAGCTAGTCCCATCAGGCTGTCCTAGGGATGGGAATATTTGATCACTTTTTGAAATGAGTCAAATAGATTTCTGCATAAGGGCAAAAAGTTTTCTCCAGGACTTTATAAATATGCATTATTTTCATGCATTGAGAACAAATTTTTGCAGAGAGAAATACTTAGTTTAGTATTAGAATTTTGGAGCTATAACCTTTATTTGGAACGCGTTATTGTTCGTCTCTAGTGTTATGCCAAGTCAGACTTCTCTGACTTTTTGACCTTTCGGTGATGATGACAAAATCTTGTCCGACACCTTGGCTTTTTTTCCGGATGATCTGATCATAAATTTTTTATACATCAGTTATGTTGCACATGTGGCATCGATTGCTTCTAGTTGGTACCATTTGTTCGCCAATTAGAGACTTTGTCGCAAGTGTCACTATCGGATTAGTGTTATTGATCATTGATTGAACATCCTGGCCTACCTTTGCACAGCTAGTCCCATCAGGCTGTCCTAGGGATGGGAATATTTGATCACTTTTTGAAATGAGTCAAATAGATTTCTGCATAAGGGCAAAAAGTTTTCTCCAGGACTTTATAAATATGCATTATTTTCATGCATTGAGAACAAATTTTTGCAGAGAGAAATACTTAGTTTAGTATTAGAATTTTGGAGCTATAACCTTTATTTGGAACGCGTTATTGTTCGTCTCTAGTGTTATGCCAAGTCAGACTTCTCTGACTTTTTGACCTTTCGGTCCTCTTTGTTTGTAGGAGCGCGCTTCATCATTTTTTTTTTCTTGCAATTAAACAATCGACAAAGTTTGGTGTTCATTGTTTGAT